ATATGTCTGATTTCATTCTTCAAACCACTGAGGAAACTTTTCAGGAAATAATATTCATCTAGATGTCTATCCCTTTGCAGCATAAAAGACTTCAACTCAGAGAATTTATCAACATACTCATCTACTGCTCCTTTCTGTCTCAGTTTATTAAACTCTCCAATTATATCCTTATCTTTAGAGAATCTTTCCAAGAACAGTTCTGCAAAAGAATCCCAGCCCATAGATTCTTTCCCATACTTCCAGTTACATACATCCCAACCAATACAATTTTTTCATAATCAGACATACTATGGATTAGAAAATACCTTTCGCACTTTCTTATCCATCCTCTTGCATTTTCACCATCGAATTGAGGAAAATCCACTTTCAGCCCACGTTGATGTCCAGGAGTAGAGATCAATCCTGAGTCTTGCCTGCGAGGAGTTTGAATATGCTGATGATTATTGCTGATTCCTTTAACTGCAGCTATCATTTCTTCAAATCGTCTTTCACTCAGCTCTGTAAGTTTCGCGAAGTCAGTTTTCTGAACTTCGTTAATCTTTTCTATTTATTGCCGGATGCCAGCTAAATCTGCTTCCAACTGAGTAATGCGGTCCGTATTACTCATCTTCGCCATAGCCACAGTGATCTTCTAGCTAAGCTCTGATACCAAATTGTTATGAATGTGAAGAAGAAAAGGAAACATTCATAGCTATACAGAAATGAGCAACTGAAAATGGGGAGAGAAATGAGAGAAGTTTTGTGTATTAGCTCAGCCATCCCCGATTACAATTGATATAGTCTGTTATATACATCTGAGTCTAACTAACAGTTTGTTATTAGTAAATGGACTTTAACAAACTACGAGAGTAATGACTATACAAATAGTTCAACCCAAATACACTACTTAGGCCCAAATATAGAAGGCCTTATTGTAACACTAAAGTGATGGGAATACCCAGGACTTTGAGAACAGTTGGAGTTGTTGGTAGGGTCTAGCATTCCCGTTCTGAGGAAGATGAGCTAGTGTTCTGACTTTGAGATGTGGTATTTTTGGGTCTCAACAATACCCAACCCTAGGAAGTTCTAGATCTCAAGAAAATTGACATACCTAAGCCAGAACTTGTATACCTTTGTTTAAATCTTCTTCATTAAATAGCCTGTGATGTTTAGAGGTTAATTAAATTGGGTGGGTTGCCGGTGTCATGGGTAATCCTACAAGTGAACATCAGAAAATCATTGCATTTGACAGATCTGTGAACGAGCTCAAGTGGATGATAGCTTAGTTGCTGAAGCACCGATAGGAATCAGCCTAGTATTTTATTAAGGGGCAGAATAAGAGAAATAAGGTGTCTAAGGGGTCAAATAGCTAATTAGTTGTTTGTTTGGTCCCTGCGTGGACTGTTACTATAAATAGAAGTGGAGGGTAGCTAAAGAAGGCAGGCGGTTATTGAATTGGCATTTGGCTTGGAGAGTGGTCTTCTCAAACAGTCTCAAAGCTTTGTTTACGTTCTGTGATTTTCTCTTATTCAGTAAACATCTTTCAATCTATTCCCTCCATATTTCCCTAGATCTATTGCTATTTGCTTGATTAATTCCATAGTCCTATCAATGGTATCAGAGCATAGAATGGATCCGCTTGAGAGTAGAATGGATTCACTGGAGAGGGCATAGGCATCGATGAAGAAAAGGTTAACAAACATGGAAACGATGGCGGAAAACCTCGCCAGAAAGTTTGCTGAGATGAAAGAAGAATTCCAGGCGAGAAGGAGATCGCAGAAATCTCCGCAGTCGCGAACTTCATCATCGGATGGATTATTTATGAGAATACCCTCTTTTCAAACCCATATTATCAAAATGCCCTTTTTTTATTTTAAATAAAAGAAACTTATGAAATTACTAAATAACCTTTACTAAAACCTAAGTTTGGATACTCCTTTCGAACTCTTCCTCCAGAATATCGAGACGACTCCTCCAAAGCTACAGAAAGCACAACTCTATTCATTCTTTCTCCTCATAGCTAGAACAAGGTCAAACTGGTTCAAACTCTATATTGCACTTCTCGCACTTCTCTTCGAACCTTAGAGCCAAACGTGCCACCTCTCCTTCCATCTTTCATCATTCTAAAACGCTCCCCCTTCAACATTGGTGGTAACGGTGCGACTTCAAGCATCATGAAGGTCAAGAACCCTACAATTCCAATGATTGAAGAAGATAAGCCTAAACGTAAGCGTAGACTGGTAACATTGGGAGAAATTAGCCCTCCTAAAAATCTTCTGAAGAAGTCGGACTCAAAGCAGAATAAAGAAATTCAACGAGATAAGGTTGTTGCAGAAGATCCTCAAAAGTTGAATGTTCTTTCTCTAAACAAAGAAATTAAGGTAATTACCTATTCATCCCAACCTAATTAATTGTTTTTTGTTCTTATTTTGAATTTGTTTGACCGTGTTTGAACGAGTTTGATGGAGATTGATTCATTTTTTACTGAATTGAAAAGTGTTTGACCTTGTTCTACCCTGTTTTTTTTGTTTTTTGATTTACCTTGTTTTACCGTGTTTTACCTTGTTTGAACCAGTTTAACCTTGTTCTACATTGTTTGACTATGTTCGACCATGTTTGACAATTAATAATTAGAACATGTATTCATGATTATTTTGTTCAGGTTCCATCTATGTCTCCTATGGTTGACATTACACTCTTCCCAAACATGAAAATTACAATAAAAAGTTCATTGAGAAAGTTTCAAGCACAAATGAAGTGTTGGTTAGGTGATCATCCCGACATATTGAATGAGTTTAGGTCCACTATATTTGGCAAGTACTTAGACGTGCAATATGTCCCTACATCCATCCTTATGTGGCCTTTGCTTGGTAGAATAGCGGATATTGAGAGAACTTCTGAGGTGTGGTTTGTGATGAAGGGGGTTCCAATTCGCTACTCTCTAAAGGAGTTTGCTTTAATTAGTGGGTTGAACTGCACTGCTTTAGACAAAGACAATTTTGAGAATGATTATGATGCGGATGATAGGGCAAATTTTATTGATACCCACTGGCCTTCTGTTCTTCATGATGGAAGTCGAGATAAAGTTAGTTATAACACGATTTTAAAACGTTTTCACCAACTTTGTAATCATTTAAATCATTATGATAAAGCTAAAAAAGATGAAGCACGGTTTGAAGTGATAAGAATGGCATCACTTGTGTTTATAGTGATGGTTCTTTTAGCCCCTGTCAAGAGAGACCATTCCATTCCTGATTGGATCATTGCACAAGTGGGTAGCTACTATCTAGACTTTCCATGGGGTACATGGGCATTTCTGGAGTCTCTTAAGCAGTTGAAGAAGAACTTAAAAAAGAAGATGGATGAGATTATGCATCAAGAGGTGACTCCAACATTATGTTATACGGCTTTCGTAGCTCCGATATCGGTGAGATACTTTTATTTTATGACTATTAAATTAAAAATTTATTTTTGGTATTTGTTAATTTAATTTTTATTTGAATATATCTTGTTAGGTCTTGTTGTTGGAGTGTGTACCGGACTTTGCTGAAAAATTTGCTTTCAAGAAAAAGCAAACTACTCCTGTCTCTCCCCGCATTTGTCTTTGGAGGCCGAAAGAGATAAAGAAGAACTTGCATATTCAGGAAGTCCAGGAGATTGTAGAAGGTGTAAAAGTAAGTCATACTAAAAATTTCATTCACTTCTCCATTTCAATAAGTCATATTACAAATAATCATTAAGATTTGAACTTTGGTCAAACTTGGTGAATGATGGTCAAACCTGGTCGTAGTAAACAATATTCTAATTTACATAATTTTTTAACTCCAGAGTGTGCAGAGTATTCTTCTTCCTGATTCTTTGGAGGCTCAGACTGAATGGATGGAGTCATTAAAGCCAATAGAGGAGAACTACCATAACATTGAGATTGATGCCTATGTTCCTCAATTGGAGAAGAACTTAGTTCATATTCCTGTCTCAAGGAAAAGATCAGTGAAGTCAAAGAAAGAATATGATCCTTCAAAAAAGGGGAGAGTGAATTTTTCACAAAGTGATAAGGAAGATGAAGCATACAGAAGAGACGATTGTCCACTTACCCCAATTTACTGCACCACTGATATACCTCCTCCAGCACAACCTCCTTCCCTAGACAAAGCTTTGATGGATTCGCTATTTGAGCATATTACGGTATATATAGACAAAAAATTTCAAGATCTTGAAGTGAATTCTGAGAAAAGGGTTGACTCTATCAAACAAGAGTTTAATTCTTTTAAAGAAGATTTTTCTGAGAGGCTAGGGAAAATGGAGTCTGCAATTACCGATGTAAGCAACATGTATTTTTTTTTATTTTACTAAGATATTTTATGTATTAACTAAAAATTGTTGTAAATAATAATGTGTTTACTTTTTTATTTTATCACTTTTTAGTATTTCGGGAATAAAGTTGACAAACAAGATCATAAGGCAGCTGCTGAAGTGTCTGAGAAGGTTGAGGTATTAATCTCTTTATTTTTGTTATAGATGCACAATGATATTAATAATAATATATTTAATTTTTGTTTAATATCTTTTTACATTTAGGTGAAACATGTTCAACCTTGGTCGAACATGGTCAATCTTTGGCGGAACATGTTCAGAACATGTTCAGTCAAACATGGTCGAACATGGTCAAACTTGGTAGAAAGTGGCTGTGAAACAATTCTCATTTTTTAATGAATGTGATTTTTATGCTGTGATTTTTTATGCAGGACTTTTGTAATGGATCAGTTGACATAAACGAAGGAGCTAAAGAAGATGATGTGGTATAGCTCTAGCTAAAGTTGGCTAAAGTTATTGTAACAATTCAATTATAACTCTAACTAAAATTGGCTTTTCTGAGTCATATTTTGTTTAATATGTATCAGGATTTTCAAGATGGTGACAATGGAAACGATGACGTTACAATAATAACCAATGAGGTAAATAATTATTAGTAGCTATAGTTGGAATAATTTTGTATGTTAATTATTTATATTTTTTATTTTATTAGGAAATGGGAAGGGGTCACAGAGTAAAAATACCTGCTCAGATATTTAGTTCACCTTGGACCGTAGTAACATATAAGAGAAAGAGTGTTAAGCACAGTCCAACACCGGATGTCTTGGATAAATTCAAAGTCTTCATTGAGAAAGCAATCCGGGAGAAGAGAAAGGTTCAATGTAATGTTAATACAGCATGCGAAGAAGATGGAAAAGTGAAGAGATGGTGGACTGAATTGCTTACACCAGGAGGATGGCTAGAGAACACGGTAAGTAAATTGATTTAAATTTTAGCGTATTTTTTATAGTGATAATATTTTTTGAACTTTTCAGCACATGGAAGAGTACCTTTTCGTTTTGAGGAGGCGTGTGGTTGAAGAAGGGCTTTCAGATGTTATTGTGCTTACGGATTTCTTTAGCGGTCATTGTGAATCCAATTGCAAAGACCGTATCTATCCTGAAGTCCAAAATCAATTGCTCAAAGTTAACGATGGCACATATGGAGCCGAATATATGAAACCTTGGAAAAACATCCGGTGTGTGTATTTTCCTCACAATGTTGGTGGTAGTCATTGGGTGGCTATACGTGCTGATTTTTCAAGTGGTACTCTTCTTGTGTTCGACTCTCTTACTGCGCATTGCAACAATAATGTATTGGGAGAGTCATTAATGCACTTGCGGAAGATGTTTCCTATACTTGCACGAGTTAGTGGTCAAGGAACTCACACACCAGAGAAAAAACCAATATGGGATTTTACACGGCTCATTGCACCTCAACAGACTTTAAATGACTGTGGAATGTATGCTCTAAAGTTCATTGAGTTGGACATGCAAAAGAAGTATTATACATGCCTTCATGGGATCACTGTGGAAGACATTAGGGTGCTTAGGCTCAAGATGGCATTTGATATTTGTTTAGAATTTCAATCAACCTTAGGTTTATCTAAATAGACTTGTTTTGTATGAACTCATTTCTTATATGACATTTTAAATTGTACTGATAGTATGTATGTTGTTTAAATATTGTGGTGTGAATTTGTGGTTAAATTTTTAAATTGAACATCTAAAAAGAGGGTTAAACTCGGTTGAACCCATCAATAAAACCCGGGTCGAACTCGGTCAAACCCATCAATAAAACCCGGGTCGAACTCGGTCAAACATAGTAGAACCAACACTCAATCTTGTGAAACCAGGGTAGAACCGGGTCAATACAACGCTAGTAGAACTCGGTCAAACATGCATGTTCGAACAGTCAAACCCTGGTAGAACCCAGTTGAACTCGGTCAATCAGGCATGTTTGACCAGGGGTCAAACTGCTTAATGTACGAAAATGATTCTGAATATATAAAACTACACTTAATTTGCTCAAATGAAATTGGATTATATAGTGAACCTTAATTGTAAAATTGATCATGATTACTTAATATATCGATATAATATGAATATTTATACTTGTGTTTGACATGTTTAGATTCTGATCATAGAAAGCCCTAATTAGACCCAATTAGGTCACACATATTTCAAATGCAATTGGACTCTATGATGAACTCGGGTTTTAAAATTGATTATTATTTACTTAATATATCGATAAAATATTAATATTTACACATGTGCATGACAAGTCTTAGACTCCACTTATGGAAAACCCTAATTCCATCCAATAAGGTCACAACTATCTCAAATGAAATTTGATTATATGATGAACCTGAATTGTTATATTGATAATGATATTCTTAATATATCAATACAAAATGTATATTCACACTTGTATTTGACATGTTTTAGGCTCCATTCATAGAAAACCCTAATTCCACCCGATAAAGGTGTAACTCTCTGAAATGCAATTGATCAAGATGGTGAACCCGAATTGTAAAATTGTTAATGATGTTCTTAATATGTCGATACAATATGTCGATACAATTGTTCTAAATGTGAACTCGAACTGTGAAATTAATCATGCATTACTTCATATGTCGATACAATATGAATATTTTCACTTATGTCGATACTATATTAAGAACATCATTACCGATTTTACAAGCCGGGTTAATTGTATAGTTCAATTGCATTTAAGATTTTTGTGCCCTTATTGGGTGAAATTAGGGTTATGTGTGAATGGAGCCTAAAATATGTCAAACACAAATGTGAATATTCTTTTTGTATTGATACATTGAGAACATCATTACCAATTTAACAATTCGGGTTCACCGTATAGTTCAATTGCATTTCAGATAGTTGTGCCCTTGTTGGGTAAAATTGGGGTTATTAATGAAAGGACTCTAAAATTTGTCAAACATAACTATAAATATTCTTTTTGTATTGATATATTGAGAAAATCATTACCAATTTTACAATTCGGGTTCACTCTATAGTTCAATTGCATTTCAGATAGTTGTGCCCTTATTAGGCGAACTTAGGGTTTTGTATTGATGGAGACTAATACATGTCAAAGACATATGCAAGAACTCATATTTTATCGATATATTCACCAGACATAACCCAATTTGACCTAAGGTAAAAAATGACCGAGTTCGACTAGGTTTGACCGGGTTTTACCGAGGTTGACCTATCAACAGGTCTACTAAGTTTTACTGAGTTTGACCATGTTCGACCTTGTTCTACCCATGGAGAAAATCTTCAGTTCTACCTTGTTCTACTATCTTTGACCAGGTTCAATAGTAAACCTTACAATATATTATGGAACATAATAAATAGAGAGAAAACACAAAATTTAAGTACAATAGACGATAAATATTACAAACTAAATTACAACTCATCTAGTGTTTCCAGAGTAGAATCATTTACTATTTTGATAGTAGGCAACTTATCTTTACAAGTTCTTAAGGTATGTCCTTTCTTTTTGCACCCCAAACACGTCAATTGCCATTTCTTCCTACGCTCACCCACGGATGGAAATCTTTTCATCGTAGGCCTTCCTCTCTTCCTAGAAATTATAGGTGGATGAATTTCCAATTGGACTTCATCATTGGCTTCACATTCTTCTTCTCTTGTGACAGGATAAATGGTTTCAGCATATGCAACATACATAAGGTCCCGCGTGTACTTACGATCGCATAGGTCATACAAGTCGATATCCGTTTTATGGAAGCATGCTAGCGCGTGTAAACAAGGAAGTTTGTCTAAATCGAATACATGACAAGTGCATGTTCTATCTCTCAAGTTTACCACATGATCAGACTTTATTCCCTTAACATGAAATTCATACAATCCTAGTTGCAATGACTCCAAATTCAAAGCCCTGTGGTATCGTTTTCGAACGATAGCCTCCGCCTTGGCGGTAAGTGGGCTAGTTGAGTTCTCGAGTGTCTTCAACTCGGCTACTCTCTTACCTCGCCACTCAGCAACTTTTGATTGTACTGCTTTTAACAGTGCAACAATGGGAAGACCTCTCTCACGCTTCAAGACATTATTCATACTTTCAACCCCATTTGTTGTCATAATGTTATAACGGTTAACATGGAAGAAAGCTCTTGCCCATTTGCACTTCTCAATCCCATCAATATAATTAGCACCTCCTTCAAACCTACTTCTGAATTCTTCATACAACCTATAAAAAGACCGTTGTGTATAAGCATTCGCTAGTTTATCAAACAACTTTGTGGCACCATCATCTTTTTGGACATAAGCTTTGAGATTCTGTGTGATATGAAACTTACAATGCCCATGATCCGCAATAACATAGTGCTTTCTAAGCCCGTTAGAAATGCTCGCGTGTCGATCTGAAATGAATACCAACTCTGAAGAATCATCAATGAGCTTTCTTAAATGCCCAAAAAATCAAGTGTAAGAGTCATTATTTTCATTATCCACAATAGCCCAAGCTATAGGGTATTGATGAAAGTCACCATCTTCTGCTGTGGCGATGAGTAAAACACCCTTGTATGACGTCTTTAAGAATGTGCCATCAATGGAAATAACTTTCCTCAATGCTTGAAAACCTGAAATGCAAGCATGAAATGCAACAAACACATACTTAAAGCATCCATTTTGAACCTCAAGGTGTGTTGTAACTTTGCCATTATTTGCACTCTTTAACATATGCAAATATGAAGGAAGTTGTTTGTAACTGTTATTTGGAGACCCATAAAGTGCTTCGTTTGCATATTTTCTACCCAACCAAGCCTTGGTGTATGTTATTGGCCTACCCTTATTTTGCATGAGAGTCATTATAGATTTGGGTCTAATGATCTCCTCTGAACCTCCAAGTTCTGACAACACTGTTTCACCAACATATCTTGAAGTTGTTTGACTGTGTGTGCGGTTGCGGCCGCCAACTGAACAATTGTGCTTCTTGATATATTTTCTGATGGTGAACCTTTGAGAGTTTTTTACCACTGTTGCTCGGAACTTCCACTTACAATTATCTCCTTTGCATTTTAGTACATATCTCAATTTATCACTCTTCACAGTTGTGGTTTCAAAATTCCCATTCATAGCAACTTCTCTCAACTTCTTCTTTAAGTCCTCCCTACTATCAAACTCAAATCCAATGAACAAATCAGAGCCATCATCAAAAGTTCCATCAGCCCCAACATCAATCTCCAGAGGATATACCGGCACACTTATATCCTCCATTGTAGAATCTGCAACATTATTCGGGACATCACATTCTGTTGTGGGAGTAAGACCACAGTCATGAGTAGGAAGTTTGTGGGAAGGTACGCTGAACTTTTGAGTAAGCAGTGCATTCTCTTCAAATTCACCACAATCTTGTTCAACTATAATATTGCATTGAAAATAAGCATCTTTAAAACCAATTTCATCACTCTCACAACATTTCAACACACCATCTGTTGTTAAGTCTTCCACATCCCCTTCAGATTTTATTTCACTCACCTCAACATTTAGCACTGTAGAATCCCTTTCTTTGTCTCTAAGATATACAGAAAGTGCTTTTCTACTATCCAATGTATAAGGTAAAATAGTTTTGCCAAACCGTGGCATTTGAAATGAGACTTTCAACGAATGAGTGCCCTTTTTATAACCAGTTTCCTCATACAAACATTCCAAAAATGAATCAAAGTCCGTATTGGATGCATCCCAATCGAAAGCAGCAATTTTTTTATCTCCTTCAAACGTGTAGTTTCCATTCTCATGTTTTTTCCATTCCCCATCATAAACAACGTATATCAACTCGGTCGAACATGTAGCCATCTGTGAATGTAAAGAATATGAAATTATTAAACATAGTCAAACTAATTGTCAAACTTGACAAAAATGTTAAAACACAGTCAAACTCGGTCAAACTTAGTCAACCATGATCGAACCTACAAAACATGGCCAACTAAGAAGCAACCTAAGTGAAAACCTATGAGAATGTTCAAACATGGTCAAACCCAGTCAATCATGGTAGAACCTATCAAATATGCCCATCTAAGGCGCACAAGTACAGTGGTCATAGATTATTTTAAAAAAACCAGGTTAAGAGTTATCCATTATTTTCAACAAAGCTTTTTATACTAAGTGGATTTCTTGAAATAAATAGTTAAAGATACTTTAACTTAC